TGTTGTTATTTTAATCATACTGTACGAATCTTGAGCAGCACGTAGTGAGAACCTGTGGGATGCTTTTTCTTTTAGCTTTTAAAATAACAGAAAAGGATCATTTTGGATTACGCACCCTCAAGCAGAAACCAGGCCATGAAGTTTCATCTTCTGATGTCCCTGGTGAAAGTGGTATGCCCTTTTCAGACTAAAAGCAAACCTGAAGACTTAGAGGGGTTTTTGGCTTTCCGCCCAAGTAATACCTCTTTTTTTTTTTTTTTTAAGGCCTAGACAGTCTTGTAGAGATTAACTATGACTTGATTAAAATTAATGCTGGAAAATTTGGAATGAAGAATTAAAATAGAATAACTTGTATTTAACATCATGGCTTTAAGGCAGATGTCTGCAGCTAGAAAGATGCAAATAATAAAAAAGAAATCCTCAAATGTGGACATCATACTTTCTTAATTACTTCTTAAAATCCTCATAATAGTATCTCAATCTGGAGTTACTGTGGCAGCCTACGTTTTAGCCCAGGTCTGTTGTGTTCACTCGTAGTAAAAAGCATTCCCTCCTGAACCTTGATGCATACCCAGCCCTACGAGGAAAGATTTTCGATTGTGGTTCTGACGTTACGGTTTGGAAATCCGTTCTGCATTGATTAACATTTGCACATGGCATCCTCTGAGCCTTTTCCTCTGTCCTCCTGCCCTGAGCTCACTCCACCTCCGTGCGGTCCACCCCCGGCTCAAACAGCCATCCAGCACAGCGAGTGCCGATACGTGAAATAGTAGCCCGACTTCTTTCCTTTGTGTTGTTTTCTTTGCAAGGGAGAAAATGGGAGTCTTCGCACAAGGGAAGACTTTGTTTTCCTCTTTCTGTTGTCTGTGATCCCCACCTGTTGTATATATGGTAAAAATATCTGGGACTTATAACCCAGCAACAGTCCGCAGCCAGAGTCATGTGTGACCGGGTCAAACACACACTCGCTGGAGGGTCATGGCCAGGTTACTAAGTCAAGGCTGGCAAGTCTCCACGATAATGTTTTCTTTCTCTCTCACTCTTTTTTTTTTTCTTTTTCTTTTTTCTTCTCCCCTTGTCTGTCTTCCAAACAACAGGTTTTTTTAAAAAAAACAACCCTCGTAACAATGCAAACTATTTAAGCATGACAAATTCAAAGGAGTTTTTTATTAAAAAAAAATTGGACGAGGGGGGCTGAGTCAATGATATTTTGGATTTAATTTTATAGTATAGTTTTATGTGGCACATGAAAGAGAGAAATTTGTATTGAAACAATTGAGACCCACTTTCCCAGTTCCTGGCTCTTTCCTGGAAGATGATTAAAAGCAGACTTTTTTTTCCAGACGAGACATAAAAATTAAATGATCTACAGTATATAGTTATTTTTTCAAATGTTTGGAGGCTTATAAATAACTTCTACAATCAAATGCACACATACAAGCAGCAGAGAATCTGGTTCTAATTACTTGTACTTTAGTTGAACTTTGGCGTTTCCTTTGACTTTCTGCCTAATGTATGTGAGCTGTGTGCCTTGCACTCCTGCAGTGAATTCACAAAAAAAAAAAGGAAAAAAAAAAGAGAGGCAAAAAATCCAGACTCTTGTTGGTGCCAACAAAAATGAGGGTTAACAGAATGTTTTGACCAAATGCAACACTTTGCTATTCACCCTAATTAGCTGAAATTGCTGCTTCCCACCAGGGACCCTGAGCTCAGTATTCAAAATTCCCTTGAGGCGATCCAGGAAATGCCATTTGCTTTACAACTTCTTATTCTTTTAAGACTCAACTGTCCAAAGTGTGCATTAACATACAAGCTTAATAGTCTAAGTTTCTAGCAAAACGCGAGGCATTTCGTAGCGCCTGCCTGCTTCTAGTTGGTCACAAAGTAAAATACCTCCTCCATCTGTCAACATGGTTTAGCTGGCAGTAAATTAGCTCTCTCAAAGCACGCTGTGCTTTTAAAGATCTTATCGGCTGCTTTATCTAACCTTTAGAAATATTTCAGCCATCTTAGGAATTGTGAAGTGACCGATTGTTTGAGAGTCCCTGTGTGCTTAAGCGGCATTCAGGTGTTGGGTGATGGCACTGAGGCTCTGTTTTCTCAGGTGAGAAGGGACCCTGAAGTGTCACATCCCACGGGACAGGACAGTAGAGCATGGAAAGAAGTTCCTTCTTTTTTTTTTTTTTTTCTTTGCATTCTTCCTAAAATTTTAAGACTGCTTTAAAAATGCCTCTTCTGGCAAAGTCAGCTGTCCAGCCCCCATCCTTTCTTTTTTTCCACCCTGCATGTGGAGACATGCATTAGAAGAAAGCGGGTTCTGCTGTCGTGCATCCACTAGTCACTGACACGACACAGAAATAAGGCTTTATACCTGCTGAGCATGAATTGCTACAGATGCCTGCACCTGATTTCTACACGTCCATGCTGGCAGTACATACGTTTTCAAATAAAGAGTTAAAAAGGTTAGATCCAAGGAAGAATACTAAGTCAGAAGCTGGAGTAAGAGTTGAGCATGTGTAACCTGAGTTCAAGCCTTCTTCAGAAAGCCATACATCTTGCCTGTGATCAATGATGAAAGTTCCCAAACTGGCTTTTCTTACAAAAAATCAAACTCTAGACAGTTGTTCAGCTGATGCAAGTATTACATTGAATAGATTAAGCTCTTTTAGTGGCGCATATTATGTGGGTGTTTCAGGAAGGGTCTTCTGGTTTACATTGGCTCCTTCCTTCTCATATACCTTTTAAAATTGTCCAGAAAAAAGTTCTCTAACGGTATCTTCAGCTCTTCAGTTGCTGACTATATGTTGTGTATTTATGAACTGAGCTGGTTGATTAATCTCTTCTGGGTATCACAAGTTTCTGGTGCTTGGCCGGTGCCTGACAGACCTCTGTTGTACATATGGTTCATGGTTTCAATCCTACTATTGGATGCTAGTGCTTGTTTAGGATGAAATAATCAAAAAAGCAGAAGTGTATTGGTATTATTCCTCAAAGACTGCCTTCCCCAAACTGAAATCACAGGATTGCAGGAGTGCAGTTGTTTTATTGAATGACACAACCTTGTTTTCCCATGGGGAGACTAAAAACTGCCTTTTAGATGGACTGAGAGAGTTGAATGAGCTAATACGAACCACATTGTCTGCTGGTATTAGAGTTTTAAAGCGAAAATTTTATCATTCCACAGACTGGTTGGAAGCCACCATAATTCATGTACGAGCATGAAATAGGGCGCAGACCATTTGAGGCCTCTCAAGGGCATTTGATGAATCTAACTTTAATTTAAAAGTACTAATAGATTATTGATTCAAGTAGGATGACTGGGCAGAGATCAATAACAGAGGACACTCTGTCTCTCTTAAATACCAAAAATTAATGTTGAAAAGAAATTACCATTCTCATCTCTGTTTTCATTAAGAAAAAACTTCATTAAAGTTTGCTTGGTGCAGTAGGAACCTGTAGATTTTTGGTTTGCCAAGGTTCAGCGTATTTAATGCTGAAAAAGATTAGTATAGTTCTGGACATTGTCTTAAAATCACAATTTATGGAGCCACTTGTTATTTTACTTTTCTGTTTTTTCACAGCCTCATTACTGTTAGATATGTAAATAAATCGTTCCCATTAGAAAGGTATTTCTTTGCTTAGAATCAGAGCCTTTAACACTTCACTCTGGCATTTATTTTCTTCTCAAGAAATGTCTGTCCTTGGAAGTTGATGGTAGCTTAACCCAAGTAAAAATGGCAGAAAGGCGCCCTTCTCTCACAACTAATCAGAAGTTGCATCGTGCTCTGTGATGCCCTCTGTGAATTCTGCAGAACACAAGTTGACAATGAATCATGAGTTTAATACAAATGTATCATCTTTGTAATCTGAAAAATATCATGTACAGTAAATCTTGTCTAAGATTTTCCATTGAGTAATATTCTTTAGGGCCTGCTGTTAGTACTCTTGAGATTTAGCTCTGCTGATAGTGCCTAATATTTCTGGATAGATCTGAGTTCACAGATCCTGTCATTTCTGTATATCTGTTGAAAAGTTAGAGGGATTTATCTGAGAAGCAAAAGAATGGCTAGGTGAAACACGAAAATGTATTGCACATCTACAATAAATGTGAGGAATGATGACAGCATATCACAGAAAACTAATGCAGATGTTTTGGAAAGATGTAGTTCTCATGTCTTATCTCGCTTCGTAGAGCTTTCATGTCCTTTCCCTGAAAAGGGATAACCGGCTTTTCAGCAGGTTCAAAACAAATGACCATCTAGAAATATTAAGGCAATAAAGGGATGTGGGGTCATAATATGTAAGTAGCTTTTTCTCAGAGAGGTTTCCTGATGTTACAAATCCTAAGGTAGGTAAGGAAGTGTTGCTGAGTTGCACCAAATTTTACAGATTTAAAAAAAAAAAAAAAAGATGAGTTGTTCAGGTAATTTTGTCTCTTTATGTATCCCCTGATGCATGCTGCTATCCTGCTGTGGCAGAATTGCACATTGGAAGTCTTGCCTTTTGTACAAAAAGTCTTCTTATTTCTAACCATCCAGGAGAGATATAAAAGCTCTCCCACCAAAATTAGGTGCTGACTGGAAGGGTACATGCCACAGGCAGTTTCCCATTGAAGGCTGATATCCAGCATGCACACAGGGATCCCACACAATCCTCGATAGGCTAAAACCAGAATATAAGCCCAAAGTTGTCCATTTTTGGAGCCTAGTAAGAGATTCAAGCCCTATATCTGAAGTGAGCTGAAGCTTTTGTGGTGTTGAGTAGCTGGATCACGAAAAACGATCGAGTACTTAAAAATAAGCTTTTGAGGCTATAGCAGGTAGTCCTGTCACTACTGGGCTTGATTTAGTTCCCCTTAAATTTTGCTAGGAAAGACAAATGAACATTTATTATACAAAGGTAAATATGGGGCAGTTTGATATAGTTATTATATGGTAAATAATCAGGTATTTAAAATTCTTTCATGAATAATTCAATTATATTTCTTTTTTCCTTTGTAGCAGTTGAAACTCAGAGCACCAGTTCTGAGGAACTTGTTCCGAGCCCTCCTTCACCACTTCCACCCCCTCGAGTTTACAAGCCCTGTTTTGTCTGTCAAGACAAGTCATCTGGATATCACTATGGTGTCAGTGCTTGTGAGGGATGTAAGGTAAGTGCCATCATCTCCCTTTTTATAGGACCACATTTCATTTTAGAGGGGTGCAAAGCAATGAAGTTTGGCGTGACTTGATTGTCTCCAAAGATGCCTCTGCCTTTTTTGTGTGAATTAATTCTGATTCACGAGTAAACCCAAGTAAATGACCATTGTGCCTGGAATTATTTCCCTTCATAACTTCTGCCGAAGTATGTCTTTCAGGGACTTTGTAAGTATCGACTAACATGAGGATGTGATCATAGATGCAGAGATAATCAAAGAATAAAGTGAAAATGCTTTGAGACTCTTCACTGTCCATCTGTAGGTCAGGTATACCCTGAGAACTCACATGGTTGTTGTCTGCTCTCAGCCTGGCTTTTTCTGTGTGCTGCTACCTCTGTATATCCAGGGGGTGGAATTTGGGAAAAGGATCTGATCATCTGGAAATTTTTGGCATAGTCTCTAACTGTCTAACTAATCTCAAATCAAATTGGGAATTTGAGGATAAGCAGGTTGGTATTTGCAAAATTTGATCTGGCAGACTACAGTGCTGGCACATCTGCTAGCTGCTTTCCAGTGCTGTGATTGTCAGACCACGAACTGACTATCCATAGGATGTAGTAATACGATACACCATTCTGAAGTACAGAGTATCTAAAGACTACGTGTGCATTGGAGAAGCAGCATCAGCTAAATCATGTATGTATGGCAATAATTAGAGGTGTACATACATTGAACGGTATGTGTGCATGGAAGAAGGTAGTGTAAAAAATGCTAAAGAAAAGATATCATAGGACAGATGATCTCATAGTTAACTTTATTCATTATGGTGCCCTAACTTACGTTCTTTTTTACTGATTAAACAAAAGACCTATGATTTTAATGCATCAAATTAAAATAGTTGTGTAGTGCTTAGTATAGTGAAGATCCTAACGGATGATGAAAATGTGACAGGCATTACAAACATATGAATAAAGTTACTAGAATAAATTAATAAAAGGTATTTTGCTGGTTTATTTGTATGAATCATTTGAGTATTTTTCAGATACTGTGCAGTTAGGCATTTTTACTTTATCCTTTGAACCTGCTACTTCTTCCACGGTACTGGCCTTTTGTAGTGATGTAAATATCATAGTCCTGGGCTTGCGTCATTAGGCAGGAAACTAGAGGATTAGAGTCTGCTTTCTCCCCTGTCTTATAACCATAGGTACTGAAGTATTGGAAGTAACTATTTAAGCTCGTCTCAATTTAGAACCTCTTTCTGGTTTTGAGGTTTTCCGCGGATATCTTGTCTGTATTTTCTTCTTTTAGATGCCACAAAACTGTTGAAATTTAAGTGTCTGTTAGAAAGAACTATGGTAAGAATACGCTGTAGCTGATTTCATTAAATAGGAAATCTCCTCATGCTCAGATGCTAACACACAAATGGTGGTGTCATTCGCTCACCCACACACTCCTTCTAAGCACGGATATAATTTCAGGCTGTGGCAGAAAGGTCACGTGTTCCTAAGACTTCATTATTTTTGAAAAATATGCAGAAATATACTGTAGGGCTTTTATTGGCATACTACAAAGCATTTTCATAAATAATTGAAGCAAGACCACACTTGTCAAAATAGGTGAAGAAATCCATCTTGTAATGTATTAGCCATTATTCAACAACAACAAAAAAATCATGTTCACTTGTTTGCTAATTTGCAAGATGTGGTAATTGTACAAAACCTGTCAGTCTGTCAGTCTATGAGAAATAACAAGATTCCAAAGCAGTAACTTGGCTGCTTGAGACTGGTAATGTTTGGATTAGTTGATGCTAGCTCTTCAACAGGTTGGGCTAGGATTTTGTGAATCTCTTCCACTGATTGCATCAACTTCTTTAGTGAATGCCAGAAACTGGTAAAGAAAATGGGGAGACGACTGAGTCAACCAGTGGTCCCTTTGGTGGACAGTTACGTACTACATTTGCTTTTGACAGTTGTCTTGAGCTTTCAGGTCAATAGAATTGGTGTGCTGAATGGCAGCGGTATGTGACCACACCACCAGAGACAGCCTCAGAAACCTCTACATTGCCCGTTTCTACTCTTTCTCTGAAGAATGTTACCCTTTTGTCTTTGAGCCCTTTTGGACTGTTTGGTTTATTTTTCTTTTCCTTCATCTTCGCTCTACACTTATTTTCATGCATTCATTTCTTGGTCCTGTACCATAAGAAAGCTGCCACATTGTACTTCTTATTTCTAACCATCCAGGCTCCTGCCTGTACTCGAGTCTACCTTCACCCTTGGTTCCCATTATCGGTTCTTCATGCTTCCTTTTGTCTCCAGCATTCTTCATACAAAAAATTTAGCCAGCTAGTTTGCAAGTTTAAACGAGCACTGAGCATTGAGCACTGCTGCTGGGGAAGCCTTGTCTCCTGTGGATCTCTGCTTTTCAGTTGGTTAACCCAGGTTTATTAGAGAGCCTAGGTTTCACTGAAGGCTCCTGCTTGATGCGGAGCTGGAGTTTCATGCTGATTCTCTGGTGAATCAGGGAGCAGTAATAAGCAAGAATTTATGGTACAGCCTTTTGTCTAGTGAAGAAACACAAATTTATTTCTCCTTTACCTGAACACATATCTCCACGCAATTTCGAAGAACTTTTATTTTCTTTGAGATTTGGAATTTCACTGAAGCTGACCAGCCTGTTCAAAAGCTGTTGGGATGGGGAGAGGCAACCTCGCTTACAGACAGCTGGGTTGCACAAAGCTCATTTCATAAGAAGCTACACTAATATCAGCCAAATAAGTATCAATTCTCCTTTTTTTTCCTCTTTTTCTCTGACTTTGTTGCCATTCTCTCATTGTTCGCTCCTATTTCCACCATTTCTTTCTTCACCTGATTTGCAATCTCTGTTCTGTAATGTTAAACCTTAAAATCACTCCTTTATTCTCCTGCGTTGCACCTCCCTCTGCTCTGAGGTCCTTTTCTCAAGTCTTTTCCTTTTTCCTTTCTGACTCATTTACCTTTCCCTTCGAACTCCTGGCAGTCTTGTTTCTCAAGGGAAACAAATGGAAAACTCTGCTCATATCATGTTTATCTAATTAGGGCCCCGTTCCTTTTGTTTTTCTCTGCTGGTTTTCCCTTGGTTTTCTTCTAGTTCTCTCTCTGTTTCCTTCTCCTTTGACTTTCTCCTTTGAGCTCCAGTGAAGCTGCCATCACAGTGATGATTAGCAGTCTCCATCTAGTGCAAAGGGACAGCTTTCTGTCCTGCAGGTTTTGGGCTGATGACTGCCTTTGATTCAGCAGGCTTTCTTTTTCCTGACTTTTGGGGCTCTTTAGATTCTCCTCCTACTTTGCTTACTGTTTATTCAATGTCTTCGTAAATGGCTCTTTATTGAATTCCTGATGCTATTCCCTGAGGTTCAGTTCTTTGGTTTTCCGTCTCAAACGCATCACCTACTGAACTGTTTTATGGTAGACCAATGGAGGAGGTCATGGCAATATTCTGCTCATAAAGGGTGTATTCTTAATGGAGCCCCTTCCAGCCTGGAGCCCTTGGAGGGCTGTGGATGGTGATTATGACCTGAGTTTGGCAACCATTGCACTGGAAATTTTATCTTCCCTCAATTGTCACCAACTCATGGATGATTTCCAAAGTTACCTCCATCTCTGATTTCTCCCCTGCCATCTTTCCTTGGTGTGTCCTCTTGCTTGCCTCACTACTACCTTGGACACAGAGACACACTTTCCACCCTCTCTCTTTGCAACATCACGAACTGTAATCTCACGGCATGCAGTTTTTTCAGACATCATGCCATGATGACATCATTTCTTATCTGCAGCATTGTAATTCACAGTAATCGTTGTCCCTTCTCCTCCAGAATCTGCCTTCAGCTGCCTTCATTATTGCTGTGGTCTTCTCACATGGTGCTTAGATTGGTTCCTTCTTCTGTCCTTCCTTCCTCTTTTCCAACTCACTTTCATCCTTGGACCTTATTCGTTCTGGTACCTGGGAATAACCTCCTAACCTCCTCTGCCAAATGCTTTCTTATTATTCTAAGCGTCCCTTTTATTAAGTGATCCTTCTGTCTTACTTATAACCAGAGTCTTTGGTACTGTGCTCCACTAGAAAGGCTGTTCTGTGCCTTGTTTTGATATACTAGTCTTTTAAGGTTTTTAGTGGCTGGAGTATTTCATAATATTCACTTATGAACCTATGAATTTTAAGCTATCTTGTTTTCTAGTTTTAGTATGTTCGTGCTGAAAATTTTATTTCTGATTAGAGATTTGGAGTACCTGAATTTTTGCCTTCCAAAATCGAAATTTGGGAGTTTTCAGAAGGTTGATATCCTAAGCTTTTTCTCTGTTTGGTCAGTTGAAATCAGCAATCAGGATGTTTTTTCATGTTTTAAACTGATTTAAAAAAAAAAATCAACTTTGTGTTTATTTCTGGGTGTTATGCTGCAAAAGGCTTACGTGCATCATAGCTGGTTAATGGCTTTGTGTGTGTATTAGAATCTCAAAACCAAACTGATCTTCACAGTGAACTTGTATTTTGTAAGAGAAAGTCCAGATCCAGTCCATCCTTTTATGTGTAAAATACATTATATTAACAATATTCCGCTTATTTACAACTTTTCCATTTTGTAAACTGTGTGGCATTTCAGAGGCGGGTTTTGGAATCTACTTGTGCGTATCATGACCTCAGTTAAAGACCTCTGAAATCTTTTTTTTTTTTTTTTTTTTTTTTTCCCCCTGGTCTCTGGGTGTTGCTAGATTGCACGCAAACAAATTCCATACAAAATGAGCAGCTTGGATTTATCCAGCTGGTACAAGTGGTTATAGGGCTGGCTGTCACCGAAAGCTCAGCTTTTTGGTCCTGACTTGACTTGTCATTGTAGCCGGGTTTGCAGAAAGGGAGACTGAGTGTAGTGGGCTGGATTCCCCACACAATGCCATCATTATGTGGGCGAGGAGGAGAAGCTGGTGTTCTGGCAGCTTCAGCTGTCTCTGAAAGCCTTGTCCCTTGTTCTGAGCAAAAAA